GTCAACCTATTGACTGATTTGTGTGATGATTGGGAGATTGGTGGCATTTTTGAATATGGTGGAAAGTTGAGTTGCATTTTATTGGCTTGACCTGTTGAAAAAAATAAATAAATAAATAAGAAAAAAAAATGGGGGGCATTCCGAGATCTAAAGATTCGTTCCCCAGGTCGATCTCACGAGGAAGGCTGTTCGGAATTTAGTTCTGATATCGATAACACATAAAAAGAAAACAAACCTAAACACTCTAATCGAATAAGGATGGATGAATAATTATCAACTAAGAAATAATAAAAAGCAATAACCTACCTAAGAAGATAAACGAAACAATGAAAAAGAAGCTAGGGAATCGGGGATAATTAATTCAAGTTCTAGCAAAACCGGGCAATCAATTGTTCGGTTCAAGATTGACACTCTCGCTTAGACATCTAGCGGTTCGCTCCCAATAACTCTTCGTAACAAGGGATTGAACATGGACGAACAAGTTCGAGCATACGACACAGGCCAATTATCCCAATCCCAATAACTTTTCGTAACAAGAGACGGGTCATTGACAAGTGCGTATTTCAATCTAAAACACGTAGATTAGTCAATTACGACATCTTCTACCTCATGTGAGCCTAAGTCTACGACTTCTCCCCTTTCGGTTCAAAAAGTCGCTAATTCAATTAGAAGGGTATTAACCGACTAATCACATAGAATCAACAAAACCCTAACTCAACTAATCAACATTTAATTGTTACTAATTGCAAGATCGAAGTGTCACTCTTCGATTATATCAATCAATCAAGCAAGAATATATCAATTCCTAATTAAAACAACTCACATAAGTATGAACGAATCGAAGCCCGACAAGTACAATTCAAACAAAACAATCATCCCCTATCCCTAGCAATCAGATTTAGCTACGAATATTAAATTCAACAATCATGATCAATCCTCTCAAATAATCATTATTCATGAATCAAATAAGAGAAATGAATACTTACAATCAATCCAAGTTCCAGTTGAATTCAAAATACAAGCTAAACCCTTGATAATAATGAAAAGAAGAAAAAAAATGGAGAAAAGAGAAGAGAAGAGAAGAAGAATATGAAGGAAAGTGAAGGGGGGAGGAGATTTTTGGACCTAGGGTTCCTCCCCCTTCAAGCTGGAAGTGAAAGGAATCCAGAAAAAAAGAGTTTTGGGGCTTTTATACTATTCTGGGACTTGCAGGGGGTCATAGCGCCGCTACGACCATAGCGGCGCTTTGGGATGAAATGCTCGAGCCTCTGCCCATCGCTTTGCTATGTAACGCTGGGGCCGGCGCTATGGCCATAGCGGCGCTATGGCCTGGGCAGCTTTGCACGATTTCACTGTTTGGGCTCGTTCGGGTTCGTTTGGACTCGGAATTCGATTCCGCTTTTTCCTGTGTGTTGCCAACGAACTCCCCTATTTAATTATGCTTGCACAATAAGCTTTTGCCCAAAATTATGTCTTCTCGAAGCTTCAGACCTACACACCATAAACAAGAAAAATGGAAAAACACACAGAAACACAAGAAAAAAACTGAAATAGATCAAAACACGCAATAAACTACAAAAACGAATAAAACCTAAAGAAAAGACTCAATATGGGAGAAAAAGAAAGACAAAAAGACAACGAAAAATGCAACAAAAATGGGACAAACAGTCATTATTTATTTTAAATCTTTTATTTAGTTAATCTTGACTCTTCATTTCAAATACTCAAGACACGAAAATTATATTTCCACCAATAAATTATTATTAATATATTTTCAAATTTTTAAACATGTAAATAATCTATATTTTAAGGTAATTATGATTATAACCTGAAAAAAAAATATATTAAAGTATATTACAAGTAGTTTTATATATAACTAGCAACAAACATGTAATTTTACCAAACATCTTTTTATAAACGCTAATGTAATCAGCTGGTCAAAATAGCTAACACTGTCAGCTGGTCAAAACAGCTAACACAATTCGCTAACTGCTAACAGCTAACAGCTGATTGTCAAACAAGGCCATAACTAGCAACAAACATGTAATTTTACCAAACATCTTTTTATAAACGCTAATGTAATCAGCTGGTCAAAACAGCTAACACTGTCAGCTGGTCAAAACAGCTAACACAATTCGTTAACTGCTAACAGCTAACAGCTGATTGCCAAACAAGGCCTATGTATCCCATGCTCAACATTGACACTTTGAATCATCGAAAAAGGACATAAACTATCCACTTCCGCAATAATCGACGATAACCCGAACTCCATGCTAGTTGGAGCCCTTGGAAAAGCCCCTATAATTTCGCCCATGTAATGGAGTAAAAATCGATATACATGGCAAAATCCTTTAACCACCGGCCGAAATTATCGCGTAGTTCTCCACCCGCGCTAGCCATACCCGACGATGGGTTAAAGGAGCCATCCAAATTCATTTTAATCCAACCCCCAGGAGAAGCCATCTATCGCACGTATCCATCTCACGTCCGACCCTAAACCCTCCCAGTCGTCGTTCTCCCATAATCACCGCGAAGGCATTACTCTTCCAAGTCTCAATTTCTTTCAACAATCCGCCCACACACAACGCTTCTCTCTTAAAAATTCTCCGATTTTGTGCATTCCAAATGCGCCACAAAAGCTAGCTCAAATGTTAAATCCCAATCCATAACGTCTAAATTTTGAGCATTTGTCAAATTTATTACCAGCCAATCCTCGAAGTCCAAAGTATTAAAATCGCTCCAAGTGACTCGAGGCACTAACCTTTTCCATACTGAAGAGGCGTTGGAGCAGTCCCTCAACGTATGCAGAAAAGACTCTTCCTGGGATGGACAAGTATCACATCTGACGTCAACTTTCGCTTACAACGTTCAGAATTTGTGAGAAGCCTCTTCCGACCAACCAACCACAGAAAATTTCGAACTCTCTGAGGACCACTCCATGACCAAATGACCTTCCATAATCGGTTAGAGCTAAAGTTCTCCGGGTGAAGCAGACTCTCGTAGGCAAATTTCGCCTTAAATACGCCGTCATGCGAATAGCCCCAATAAATCTTATCTTCACTAACTTTCAATTGCGGCGGGAAAATGGCTGTCGCACGCCGTCGAGTTGTTGTCGGGAGAAGATGGTCGAAGAGCTCCGATTTCCACAAGCCCCGCTCATTAACAAAGAAGTCCACAGTGGCATATAATAGTGCTTCCGGTACTGGGCCAATAGTAAGGCTACTTACTAATTAGCGTGTCAGAGCAATTCAGTCATCGATCCCACCAGAATAGCACCCTTCAGCCATCCCCCAAAGACCACCGTACTCCCGCTATCACGTTACGCCATACCTTGCTCAAGGCCTTGAGGATAGAGGTGACCAACTGTCGGGCCGCGACCCGGCTCGGCCCGGCCCAGCCCGCTGGGTCGGCGGGCCTCAATATTATGGCCCGTGACCGGCCCGAAAAAACCTATGGGCCGGTTCATAGAACCGGCCCGCGCGGGTCTCGGGCGGTTCCGGGCCAGTACGGCCCTTAAAAAACCAAAATAAAGCAATGTGACCCCCGACCCGACCCGGCGGGTCAAAAACTAAAAGTTTATGAACCAGGACCGAACTGCAACCCTACGGGTCCGGTTCAAGGAACCGTCCCTTAAGAGGACGGTTTCGGCCTCCGGGCCGGAATCAATTTGCAGGCCGGTTCGACCCGTGGACACGTCTACTTGAGTACAACTGCTTTGGAAATCCAAAATTTTCATGCATCTAGTTCGCAGGTGGAAAGCCTATGCAACAGGCCCGATTGCTATCAAACAGTTTTCTTCACATTGGGTCCCACCTCGCATGGTATCATCTTGACTCATTTACAAACATACTCTATGATTTTTTTTTAAAAAAAAAAAAAATTGCAAAAATCAACTCAATTAACTTTATTAGCCAACTCTATACCAAATAATAATAATATGCTTAATATTAGTTCCAAAAAAAAAAAACATGTATTTTTTTTTTAATTTCTGTAATTAAATGCTCTCTGACTCATCCTTAATTAACTTACCTTAATTAGAACCCTAAACAATTCTCTCTCTCTCTCTCTCTCTCTCTCTCTCTCTCTCTCTCTCTCTCTCTCTCTCTCTCTCTCTCTCTCTCTCCCCCCTATATTAGCCGACAACAGACGACGGCAGACTCTCGCCGAAGTGCACGTGCGGCACGACCTGCTGCTAGCTGTTCTTGCTGCCATCGAGCGAGCACCTGGCCGCCTGGGGCTTGGCCTACTTCATCATCAGCTAAAACGCTCTTACACTCACATGGTATAATTCAACATGGTACAAGAACATTGTTGATACAATTTAAAGTCAACGAGTACACGAGAACTGCATCTTTCATGACAACCAAACGAAATACCATCTCTAAATAAATTACTGTTTTCTCGTGATATCAACTAGAAAACATGGATATCTGTAGTGTATATCATGTCCCAACTTTATAATCTTCAACCAAGAGATCATCGAATTTCACAATTATCCTCAATTAGAATCCAGAATTGAAACTATTGGGATGGAGACTAACTGTGTATTAGATGCGTTCAAGTTTTATGTTTTGTATAATATTGGACCACCCAAAAATAACATGCAGAATGTCATTGGATTACAACACAAGAAAACAAGAGACAAAAGTAACTAGAACGGACCGCAATTTCCTTACGAAGCACACCTAAAATGTGAAAGATTCGGATTGTATTTTAAAAGCTGCACAACATTATCCGCACAGAGCTAAACAAGCATCACCGAAAATTTACAAGACATTTTGTAGTGGAGACAATTTCCACCAGCACACAGTTCTATCGACTCACTCGATCACCAGGCTTTACCGAGTCTCTCTGGACTAGCCCAAAAGAATGAGTACATAGACATTGATACATGCATAAGTTCCAAGCTACTGCAATTGCATATACATATAACACAGACAAGTGTAAACTAGTCACTCTCTAACCTAACAAAATTGTAACCCGGGCAGTTGTGAATTCGTTCAGGTTGGTGATTCTGACAGAAGTAGTGTGTGCCACCAGCCGCATGCCACATTTTTTGCCATATGCCCGTCCAATGTAACTTGACAAGGGGTATTTCGGTCAATCACATCACCCAAGCCCAGCTGACTCGATTAGAGATGCAGAAGCATTATCAAGATACTTAAAGAGATGAGAACTATCACATATCCATTTTACATGCATATTATAAAACCACATTTATGGGTATCATAGAAATGGAAGCTACCTAATACGTTTTAGAATATAGCATACCTGACCATACTTGTTCCAACCCCAGCAGAATGTTTTTCCATCCTCTACAGAATTTAAGAAGATATGTAAAGCACAAAAAAAATAATTGTTAAGAAAGAGGATGCGCATCAGTAATCTGAATGTCTAATCTTTATAGAAATGAACAAGAGAAGGAAGTTTTTCACCCTATAGAGATTAATACATTTCTAAAGAAAAATTACCATTGTGATTAGGCCAAATCATAAAACAAAACCTTTTCACCTTTCCGTTCTTGACCCTACTATTACTTGGACTTGCAGTATTCAGGTTCTTGACCCTACTATTACTTGGACTTGCAGTATTCAGAAAATCGAAATCTCACCTCTTTTTTGGAGCACTTGACCAATTACCATTTTCTGCTATAATCTCTTCATTGATACAACAAAATGCTTACTGGCATTGAGTTAATTGGAATTTGAACAAATTGCTTACTAAAGGTCATTTGAACATGGGAAGGTTCACATTTAATTGGAGTTTTCACCAAGGAAATCCATTGACTAGTAGTTTCAGGGTTGTGAGATACCCAAGTCCTAAATAATTTCCGACTATTTTCTGTAGTGCTGCTTTATTGTCCCACAACTATTAACTGCTACTAATTCCTAAAACTTTTGATTTTCTTCGAAGGAAACCGTAAAAAGATGCTGTCCATTGCTAATATTCACAAATCAAAGGAAGTCACGTCCGCAAACAGAAAAGTTAACACACCTGTAACTACTGCAGTATGGCGAGCTCCACAGGATACGATTTTTGCATGAACATTTTCCAGACTTGGGGCGTCTAGCAGTCGGGGCAAAGTCTGACAGAGATAACCAAGAAGATAAGTCACTGAAGTCATGAATAAAAAGGACAACAATCCAGGGTAAGATAAGACTTGGCAAGAATCAAATATCACATGCAGAATTTGCCACTTCAAAAGAAAATTCATGTAAAGAAACTTTTAACAGCCGCTCCATACTTTTAGTGAAAAATCAAAACTCTTCTTACATGACATGGTATGCCACTTGCAAATGTACTGTCTGCTGTCCTACAGTCATACATAAATAAGTTGAGGCATATTACCTCAGCTTGATCAGCACCAGTTCCTAACTGACCAAATTGATTTCCCCCAAAAGAATAAACATCACCATCAGCAGAAATGCAGATGGTGTGCCAAAGTCCTGCAGCAACTCCTTCTATCCTGATCCCAAGTAAGGAAGAGACACAAATAGGGCTTAGCTCATCATCAGTACTTCCTTGACCACACTGCATTGAATAAGAAAATAAGAAATAAGCAAATGTTATTCAGAAGTACATGCATAATCAAATTAGTCAAGAAAAATGCAAGGGGAGCAGACTTGGATCAACGGGGCTAATCGTGTCTTGCCTGTAAGGTATAGATCTATACGATGTGAGTTTGTCCAGACACAGTAGAAATACTTAACCACACAAATGAAGGTGATGTAATTGCTCATAGAAATTAAGTTTGAACAGAATAGGAAACTTGAAACTCATGATACACTTGATCATATTTATGATATATGCACAAATTTTAATATAAATGTGTATGCCTCATAAGTACATATGCAACACAGCATTCAAAACTGAACACGAATATGGCTCTAAAATTTTTTTAAGCCTACTAAACTACTACACCTATCACTAATTGGTTTTGGGATGAAACCTCACTTAGGTGGTGCCTAGACTCACCCTTATATTGGGCACACTTCAATTATGTGGGCCACACTAAGTCCTGAATGTAAAAATTTGACACTGTATTAGAGAAGGCCTGATGTGAATCTGTGATTCAGTTAACGAAGGATTCACAAGTGAGGAGGCATGTTTGAACTTTCACTTGTAAGTTATCTCACATTGATTAATTAGGAAAAATGAGCATGGTTTATAAGTCTAAAAAAATACTGCCATCACTAATTGGTTTTGGGGTCCCAAAATCTCTCTCAGGTGATGACAAGTCTCACTCTTTGATTGGGTGCTTTAATTGTGAGGGACTGCACCAAGTCCTCCTGAATTTATAAATTTGACATGTTGACTGACATATCTCAAGCTATACACCAGATAATGAAAATAACTTAAAACGCAATGCTAAAATTCTCAATACAATTTGGTCATAGCAAATCATTTTGTTTCATTCGTATATCTCATTTTCATAATTAATATAGTATACAAAATCAAACAAGAAAGGATAATCCCATTACTTCCTTGTACGTGGAACTCTGTGCAAGTTATAATCACCTTCCAATCAATATTTATCCTTACTATAATTCACTTATGTACCTATTATCATCAGATAACAATTTCTTATGTTGTTAGGCATTTATGCACTGCGCAAAACAATTACCCTCATGGTCGTATCTGAAAATTTCACATAAGTATCTCTACGGCACTACAGAATTATATATACATGCATATGTCTAGGTGGTGGCAAAATGTGATGCAAATATGCAAATATAATTAACTAACATAATAGGACACTCACTTGCCCATATAATCCCCAACCAAAGGTTAGCAGTGCGCCAGCATCTGTTGCCACAAATACATACATCAATACAACTCAATGACATTATAAATATGTTGAATGGATTCAATATTTTACATTACATGATGTACCAACATAATGAGAATGAATCTATTAAACTATATCTGTTATAACTATATGAAGAGGTAAAGGAAGTAGGCATCTTGTTAAATGTTTTTTTTTTCTTAGATTAAAAAGAAAAGTACCTGTAATTACTGCACTGTGTCTACCTCCACATGCAATAGCTTTTACATAACTTCCAGGAACTCTGTAACCTTGACCTTCTGAAACCATGGTTCCACGAGAATGGCCCATCAACCGATCATTCTTGAAAGATGAATCAATGCAGGGTATCAGGTGAGGAGAGGACACCATTCTAATCCGTGATCCCAATCCAAGCTGCCCCTCACCTCCATAGCCCCAGCCCCACACCTGTCCTGTATCTGTAACTTCGGCGAAAGAAAAACACGATAGCAGAATTACTTGTTCAAGAAGCATTGTAATGCAATAAACAAAGCAATTCAGTAAGTACCTGACAAAGCCAATGTGTGTCTACCGCCCGCAGCAACTGAAGCTATCCTTACACCAGGGTTCAGCGAAACCAAACAAGGGAATGCCGATAGGCTCTCATCACCAGATGATGAGCTTTCGGCAATCTGTCTCGCTGGCGATACACGTCTCCGCTTAGATGCTTCATCAGCTCCTCTACTGTCCCCACCCGATGCTGACCCGCCACTGGATCTTGAGCCAATAGAATGAGGGCTCACTGTAATGGAAGAACTTTTCAACATATTAATCCATGAATGAACCATGAATATGAGACACAGTAGTTCATCAGACCTGAGAGCAATACCTTGCTCAGTCAACATTAACTTCTCGGAGGCATCCTTCTCCATGGCCAACCCCGTGGAAGGGTCGCCGAATACCTTTCCAGAAGGAACACATTCTTTCCATCCCCATGTGTAAACTTCCCCATCCGCTGCATTTTGATAAAGGAATGATTCAGTTGGTTCACCAATGCATTAGAAACACGGATGAGAAGAATTGTATAAAGATGTCATGTCCTTATGCAGTGCTAAAGTCGATGTCTACTTTGCATATTCATAGTAGCTGCTATGGAAAGACAATCACAGAGAAATCAATTGTACAACCTTAGCTGACATAAAATGGGAAAAGAAAAAGGGAACCAGAGAGGTACTATTTGAGCACAATATCTCATTTTGAGATGGAAATTGTGAACTTCAAGAAAAATATCTCAAGTTCACCTGTTACAGCAGCACAATGTGCCCAACCAGCAGCAGCTCTCACTATAATGGCTTCATTGGGAAGTGGAAAAGGCTCTGGCATTTCCTTGATGCAGATCAGTAAGAATTATGTTAAAGCAAATGAAACTACAGAAGCAAGTCATACTAAACCATGTCATATTGCATTACCCCATGTTTCCCAGATGTCACATAGCTTTGACCTAAGTCATCCGTCGATCCCCAGGTAATGAGCTTCCCTGATTCTGAAATGGAAAATATAAAACTATGACTACTAAATACTATATAGCGTGGCTTCGAAAGCTCAAATCGTTACAATCTTGAGACAAAACTTCTCATTTGGTTACAGAATCAAAATTTTGGTCAGCCAAATTGCCAAAATGTCAACTACTTGAAAATTGAGCATAACCCCTGGAGGAGAAGTTAAAAACACAAGCGCAGTACACATTGTCCATAATACACTTATATTAAAAGGCCTAAAATAAGTACATCAGAGCTATTGAAGTTGCTAATGATCCAAATTGAAAATTGGCAAATATTGAAGCCAGTACAGCACATTTGAATCACATTGATAACCAGAAGATGGAAAACGGCAACTCCTCAAACCTCAAATCCGACACGCTGAAGGACAGAAAACCGATCGAACACAAAAGTTCGTTGAAAAAGAAGAGAAAAAACAGAAATTAATCTCCATGTTACCCGATATAGCCATGGCGAAACCACACCCCCCACCACATACGTCCTTCCACGAGCCTCCGCCTCGAGGAGGCCGCACCACCACCGGAGACGAAATCGGCGTCCTCTGCGGCAGCGCCCCCGGCAGATACCCCCACATAAACACTACCTTCTCCTCCATTCTCGCATCTTCTTCCGCATCTACATCCATTCCCGCTACAGGCAAATGAAAATGCTTTCAACCTCGGACGCTTTAGCTCATGTACAAGTGACGGCGAGCAGAGATTCTCCGGTCGGTAGAGCTTTTGGGTTTTGTGCGCAGAGTGAAAAGTGCCCTAAAGCAAAATAAAAGAGGCGTATCAAATTTCGGGCGAGGGCAGATGACACGTCGGATACTCACGTGGCGTACGGGACACGTGGCAAATTCTGAGCCGCCAGATGCTTCAGCGATTCTGGACCAGGAATTACAGGAAGTTTCTGGAAGGCGGGGCAAAAGAATTTCTCCCGCGCAGTGGAACTGTTGGAGCCTAGCGCGTCCCGTCTGGAATGCCGCCACGTGTCCTCTAGAGTCTAGCCTCGCATTTGGTTCAATCATTAAAACCTGCCACGTGCCGCGAGGCGTGTTGGTGCTCGCATTATTGGCGTGGACTAACGCGTGATTTTATTTGTGGACCGGATTGCCCTTGTGAGAGGACACGAGTAGTCGTCATGAAGAGGTTTGAGAGAGGGGTTGCTCGTGGGCTTTTTCGAGATAACAGTTAAATATTGACTGCATACTTGGATTATGATAATTTATTTATCGAAACTAAAATTTAATTCAATGTGATAATTAAATATTATCAACTATTATATCAACTCTAATTCATTAATCATTCACTTACATAATTTAATTACACATCACTTCTAATTATATCGCTCATATTTTTACATCAAATTAATTTTAATTATTTTATTTTAAATATTCATATAAACTCAAAATTAATAATTATATATCTCTCCTTCATCTACTCAACACAAGCTTACAGCCCAACCTAACTCAACATAAATATTTATTTATGTACTGAGTATTATCTACACTTGATTTTTGTTATTATTTTAGTTGCGACAAAATTAATTGATAAAAAATATATAATTGAGTCGTAATGATTTCAAAAAATAATAATATTTTACTGTATAATAAAAAAAATCGAATCCAGTTAAGGTTGAAATTACAACAAACAAGTTAAAATTAATTAAATAAGTTACAAACACTTCAAATGAAATCACACATCAATTACCATTGCCATTTTTTTTTCATATGCGCTCGATGAAGTCGTTTTTTAAGTCATATGAGTTTTTCTATTACGAAGTTGTGACCTACTAGTGACATATGTGGATAGGTTTGTAATTTGTACAAAGTTGAGATTTGAAAAAAAAAAAAAAAAATCATAGTTTGACAAACTTTGAGAGTTGAAAAAATGAAAGAAATGATAAAATTAATAAGGTAGGATTAGAGAAAGAGTAAAAAGAGAGAAACTGCATTTGTGTTCTAAAATCTATCAAATGTGGTCTCTATTTATAGAAAAGAAAAAATACTAATTTTGGTGCATTTTATTTTTTTCAAATATAAATTAACACCAACTATAATTCTTTAAAAATTATTTAAAAATATCTTATTTAAAAAATATAACCATCTAATAGGAACGGGACAAGTGTCCGGTTCCCAACATTACAACCCAGTCACGATCCAAGGTCACTTTGTGACCTTGGTGGCCATATTTTCACGACTTTTTCTTTCTTTTTCCTACTATTATTATTATTATTATTATTATTATTATTATTATTATTATTATTATTATTATTATTATTATTATTATTATATTTTTTTTTGTCATTTTCTGGGGGATCCAATCATCCAATTCAGTGGATTATCCATTAACAAAGCCATAGAGGACCTTATGATTTTACACATGACCATAGAAGACGATTAGCTATTTTGTACTATTGTACTGGCAGTTATATTCATTTAGGCCTCGACCCTCGTTTACATCAGTGTATAACTTAAGATAACTTAGAGCATATCCACTGGGAACTGTTGACAGAGAAAAATTAGATTATGTAGACACCGTTTTATATTATTTCCTCCAACGCTTTAATTTGTAGGTCATATTATGCTGACATGGCGATAACGTCGTTAAGCCTACTGTCTGCATCTAGAAGGTCTGTTCAACATGACACTATCATCAAAATTTCTATATGTTGTAAATAAAATTTTAATTTTTGGAACATTTTTTAATCTATCAGGGAAAATGATTCTATATGTTACTAAAAAATGATTTTTTTTTCAACATTTTAAAAAACTAAACTATTTTAAATTTATTATATTTCGTGGAGATAAAGACCATTTTTTTATTTGAAATCATTAAGTGTAGTATCTCGTAATTAAAATTTTATTATTTTTTCTCAAATGATCTTTTGTTGATTGTATTGATATATTTTATACTTGAAATATTTCTTAAAAAAAATCAAGTGTTACATATGTTCTGGTTATATGTTTTATCCAATGAATTTAGTTAGTCTTTTAAAAACTAATTTATCATTTTATTTTGTTTATTAGTCTTCTAAAAACTACTTTGTTATTTTATTTTGTATATTTTAAAATAAATATATGTAAGAATGACAGGATGCATTGGAGATGGAAATCAACAGTTGTTATTCAGTTCGTGGACATTGCTTTCATATGAAATAACCGTCCAATTGTTTACCGCCATTTGGCAGAAAATTTTAACTTTGACGTTGAAGCATTGGAGATGTTTTTAGAGACAACTCGACGTGGGACAAACAAGCACAACTTCTAACATGAAGATTGAGTTTTTCATAACCCAAGTTAGACATAATTTCACACAAATTACCGCCGGACAGTATGTGCTTTCCCGATACATTCATATAGAGAGCAACGCGATCGCACATAAAAGTAGAAACGAAACTTGAAATCTAGCCCCGATTAGTTCTTTTCATGATCACCATCCATAACGGGAGATGATGACGATGATGGCACATTTAGCATTGTAAAAGCTGGCCCTCCACTGTCTTCTCGGGTCCTTCTTACCTTCCTCCGCCATCCATGGAGCGATTTCCTCACATTTTCCGATACTATGGCTTTCTTATACCTTGAACCCATCTGCAACCAGGACAACAAAAAAAGCTCATAAGAAGGAAAAAAGTTGGCCATCTTTTTTTCTTTCTTTTTTTTTTTTTTCAATTTACCTGAGCTATAATGACATAGAGTGGGAATGTGATAAAGCTGCACCAGAACTGGGAGATAACCCTGCATCAACATGCAATTCAATTTTTTATATGTTCATTTTTCTTCCACATTTAGCACATGCAGGCTGCAGCTAGTTCGAGAAATTTTGGTGCGTACCCAAATGTCAAGCGAATTACGAGGAAACTACGGTCTCCTGTAAAACATGAAGGTCCTCTAATTTCCCACTGAAAAAAAAAAAAAAAAAAACACCAGTCAGAGAAAATTAACAACACAGAGAAACCATGCAAGGCTTTGATGAGCAGCATTGGGGTTGAAGGTGTGTTACAGACTTTCAGTATATCACTATTTCTCTTTTAATGATTTTTTTTTCGCCTTTTTGTTCTGTGTTAAAGCAACTATATGTATCATTAGTTAATATTTATCTTTAGAAAATTAACCAATCATTAAATGAAATTGACAAAGTCCTTACCATTGACCATATATAAGTCGCCATCTCGAATGCATTCTGAAAAAAGTCACAGAAAGTTGCAAGTCACGAGACTTTTCTCCTGTTCGAGTTATGAGAAGATGGTAAAAAAGGCTCGGCAAAAAAAATAACCTGAAACGATATGAATTGTATTAACCGGAGAAGAAGCCTGGGGTTGCCAAACCAAAACAGCTCATCCCTCAGATTGAACTTCCCTAATCCTGTCCATTGACTTGAATCCATGATCTCGACAGCCAGCTTCACAACTATATGGTGCAGCTTTGTGCCGACCATTAGGATTAACTACTCGAGCACACCATTAAAATCGATTGTTAAATAAATGTAGGATTAGATGACAAACTTGACAAAATTACAAGAGATACCCTGAGGTTTGGCTCAGTTGTACTTTATTTAGCAAATATGAAAGGACATTTTGCAGTGTTTGGGGGGTAAAAGTATAAAATAAGACCTGAGGAGTGGATTTTGTGATTCTCAAGGCTATTTTTTTTAACAAGTCCAAACCTTAAGGGTGCCTTTTGTAGTTAATTCAGAGCTGAGGATATGTAAGACTTACAATGGCAGGGAGGAATGAAATCCAAAAGTATATATTTGTTCCTGAGGTGCATAATAAAATATGACGACTCGGAAGATAGATGGAACAGTTTCCATACATGTCAGCAGAAAATTATGAAGTTTTAAACATGATTTAATTGCTCTTGAATGGTGTCAATTGACTAAAATAATCGTCTATATGATTATCTTTAACATGATTTAGTTCATCCATTTTTACAAAGACAGGGAGATAAGAACGGGCCTGATCTCATTAGTTACGGAGTTAAGTGAAAATCGATACTTTTAGTTGCAGAAAGTAATTACCGTGAAAACCCAGAACAATGCAGGTAATAGCAAAAATCCACAGTGGGATGCTGCAAGAAAAAGGAGGGTATATATATGTCAGACTCGTATCTTTATTTGATTAAATCAGGTAACACCAAACAGACTCATGATAAACCCTCATAAAACAACTTTACAGCTCAAGCCACTGAAAAAAACACCAGAAGACACAATCTTGGTATTTTCCCTCCTAATATATACGAGTTATAGCACCTTTTAAGCTTTTAACTTCTACACGCAGAACATGGACATGACATTGTAACACAACTTTAACAATAATATCAAGATAGATGGTAGAACTTGCATTATTATTTATATTTTTTTTCCAGACAAAAGCATATTGAAGGAAGAAACATTTCCAAGATGGAAAATTAATTTGGAATAATTGGTTGGCGATCCATGACTATACGAGCGACATAACATGCCAATTACAAATGATAAATATATTAAAGCCAAATTAACATAAGTATCTCTGTGTAACATATATATATCAAATAATACAAAACCAGGATTTAGTAAAAAGGTACAATTTTATGTGACTATAGTAAGAACTCATACCAAGTAGTATTCGGTATGAGAAGTACACAGTTATAAGCTATAACTGAATCAACAGCAAATGTGACGTACTTAAAGTTACTGCAATTTGAAAGTTTCTAAACACAACTATCGACCTATACGATGATAGAATAAGTGAAACCTATGGAATGCTTCATAATGAACTGTGCTACCTGGACTCGGATATGGGTGGCGTATCGGGTGTGGAGATATGAGCGTGCGACTCGTCAATAGTTTAGAAATCTTGAACATTTTAGGCTAAAATGCCGCACCCGACACTCATACCCACACCAGTGTCGACACAACATGACACGGGTATTCTTCCTAAATAGAAGAGTCCGGGTAACATAGATAATGAATAATGAGAACCACATGTTAAGGCATGCAAGAGTACACATCATTTATGCAAAAGGCTAAGTGCAGAATCGTAAAGTATTTTTAAAAAGCCAAACAAATTTTGCCTTACCTAATCCCAACAATATCCCGAAACTCTTCCTCCATACTCCGAAGCATGTAGTTATGGAAGTCATAAGTGAAAGGCAATTGATGAGTCTGCAAAACCTACCGACATTATTTTCATGTTTTATGTCCTAATGCAGTATGTATTTATCCATGTTCTAAATGACATGTTTCTATAACAATCAACATTTTTTATAGGATCCATTTTTATACGTACTACTATCCTATGCAATCCACATTGCTGATTACGCTATAATCCTTAACAAAATCATTTCAATGATACATATTATTATTTCAGATAGCATTAATATCATAACAAAGCAAGAGTTTCTAAGTTCGAAAATATTAGCTAGGGAGAAAAGCACACTGAAGATCTTATATAAATAAAGATATACAAAAAAAGAAAAGAAAAAAAAAAGAGAGAGAGAAAGAAATTACAGTAATGAAGCCTAGTCTGAGAGCCATGTAGTCGGCTTGGCTAATTGAACTCCAGAACTGGCGGCTGAAACAAAGCTGAGAACAAAAACAGTTTACGCAAAGCTCATGAAGCAATTCAAACACAAAAACATATTGAGGAAAATAATGAACCTATTTTTTTTTTTTTTTTTTTTTTTTT